TTAGAAAAATTCAAAGCCTTAGGTTTATACCTAATTAAAACAGGACTAATTAGTCGCATTTAAACCCCAAATAAAATAATAAAACCAAAACTACCTTATCTAACAACCACCCAACACACACAGCTCCCTTAGTTCGTCCCCCACCCACTCTTGGCATTCTTTCCAAATCTCAAAATTTCAAAATTACTATATAAGCAACCCCTAAAGCCCCTAATTCATAGTCTTTTTATTGTTCAAATTACTGATAAAACATATTTTAACTTGTTCCTTCTAACCATATTTCGAAACAATTCCAAACAATTCCAAACCATTCCAAACATTTCCAGTGTTGGAATTTCCAACACTGGAAATGTTTGGAAATGTTGCCATTCCAATTTGGATTTTCTGGAAAGATCGATCTTTCCAAGCTTTGGAAAGTTTGGAATGAGCGATCTTTCCAAAGCATTTCAACGTTCATTCCAAATTGGAATGAACGCTATTTGGTCTTGTGTAGGTTGCCAACGTGAATCCACGAAGTTTCCGAGTCAAACACAGGTAATGTAAATATTCGGCAATCTGTTGAAGCAAAACTGAGGTAGGAGTGGAAATATCACAAGCACGACAATAAGTGTCAAAAGCCATCCATTTGTGGTCATAAAGGCGCCTGTTGGATGAAGAGACCACTCGGTTGGTGATGGTCTGTCTGGTCGGGTCAGGGAGTCTGCTATAACATTGGATATCCCTGGAATGTGCCGAGCGCGGACATGTATATTGAGGGAGTCGATGAGATGAAAGAACTCGAGAGCAAGTGGGAGTAGGGACATCAACTTCATTGATCACATCCTGTTGATGGACCACACTACCGCCGTGTTGTTGGACTGGATTATGAGGGAGGAGGACCGGAGGAGGTTTGACCAATGCAAATTGCGAGAATTGCTTCCTTGAACTCGAGATTGTTGATGTGAAGGCAACGTTCTACATCGGACCACTGCCCTGCTACTTGCGTCGACGAACAGATGGAGGGACGGGAAGAATGGCATCAAGGAGACCCCGTCGCAAACGCTTGCCGCGACCAGCAACCATTTAAGATGAGGGTAGAGATTGAGCGGTAGAGAGATCGGCATGTGACAATCGTTGATCCTGATAAATTGAGTGAGAAAACATTGAAGAGGTCGCAAATAAAGTCGACCCCGTACATTGAGCACCTGCGCAGATGTTAGGAGGCCCAGGAGTTGTTGCCATTGGCGCAGTCGAAGCGGCTGTTTGAGTGCTAACGGTACGAGACGTGGAATCTTCACCCACTGGTCGTGGGGAACGAACATCAGACCTTGCTGAGTGTCGAACGGGCTCCTATGAATTGGAGACGTTGGGTGGGAATGAGTTCCGACTTTTGTTCGTTGATTAGCCAGCCGAGTTGTCTGTGAAGACACATTGTGAAGGCGAGTTGTAGAGGGAGGAAGTCGGCATCTGCGGGAACTTGAATGCAGTCGTCTAGATAAGAATCGAACACGATCCCGCGAGGATGTAGGAACTTTGTGATGGTCAGGAGGGTAAAAAGCCAGGGGGCCGAAGAAATTCCAAACGTGAGCACCTTCCATTGGTAATGGTGGTCTTGAAAAACGAACCGGAGGAAGTGACGCTGCTCACGATGGATGGGAAGGTGCAGATAAGCGTCTTGGAGACCGAGACTGACCATATAATCGCCGGGATGAACGAGCGTACGAAGGAACGTGATGAAACATCATGTGAAAATGTGGTGGTGTTTCGAGGTACATAGTGTTGAAAGTCTTCATGTTGAAAATGAGCCGTAGTTTTAAACTGTCCTTTTTGGTGACAAGAAAAATGGGTGAATAAAATCTGGGGGTCGCAGAAAGTGCGCCAAGACATTCGATAGCGTTTTTTGCTAGTAATGTACCTACAGTGTCGATCAATGTTGGAAGCTGCCTTGCTGGATACGTTCTCTGATGGGGATGGCGCCTCGTCGTAGGTGGCAGTGCATTCATCGGTAATCGATACCCTTGTTAAAGCAGCTGCCTCACGAAGGGGTCTGCGAGCATGGTCCTATTGCTTGCAAACATCCCGAGTCACATAAATCGTGCTGGGCAGGAATAAATTGGGGATAGTAGCGATCCTTTTTCTGTTGATCCTCCAATTGTCTTTTCTGGAGACGCAGCATGTCCACCGTGACCTGAAGGCTAGAACCCCTCTGCACGTCCTATGCGACCTGTTGTATCGCATCAGCAAATAAGGAGCGGGAAGACCAGGGTCGCTGATACAGTTTGGTCATCCCAGGAAGAATGTTGCAGCACACCACGGAGACGAAGAGCCATCATGGAGCTGGCATGGTGAGTGAGGAGGTCCAAAATCTGCGTAAGCTTGTCTTGTGTAAGGTTGATTAATCCCCGAGTAAAGGCCTCTTCTTGGGAATGAGTGGAGAGAGAGACAGAGACCGCGTCCATGGCTGACAAAATAGTAGACACGAGCGGGAGGGTTCGGTGGACTGTGCGTTAGGTCCCGATCTTCAACCATGTAAGACAAGGTTGAACGCTTCTGAGACAGAGTAGAAACGTCACTGTCAATATCAGGGGAGGCGACCGTAGTAGACATACCATGAGTGCCTGTGTCTTCAAGGATGAAGCGGGGGATATGGAGATGTTCCCGTAGTTGACGAAAGGACGCGAAAGCCGTATCTAGGTTAGAGTTAATGTCCAGTAAGACCAGTCTGGTGGGCAGCATGATCTTGGAAGAACTAGCCGATGGAACTGCGATTCCGGAGAACCTATCTGTAGCCAAAGTGGGTCGCTGTAACTGCAATTGATCAGCTATCCAATGCATCCATGCACTGGTTCAAAACTCCCAACCAAGGAAGGCGTTGACGAGAGATCATCAAGTACGCCTGACGGGTGGGAACTGTCAGTTGGTTGAGCCTGGATACCAGGATCAACAGCCGAAAAGGTCCAGTGAGGATAGCTGGTATGGTGATACTCAACGACGGATGACCAATCTCTGCCGTAGAGAGAACAGTCTGACGGGTGGTCAATTGAGACGATTGGGAGCAGGAATGATGACAATCATGGCGCAAGCGTTCGATATCAGCCGAGGAGCGAGCATGGTAACTCGATCGAAAATGCTGATCCTGTGAGCGAGAACCTCGATCCTGGGAGCAGGAACGCCGATCCTTGGAATAAGAGTGCGGATCGTGGGAGAGGGAGTGCCGATCTGGCGTCTTGGAGGGTGAACGCCGCACCGAAGTGTGATGATCTAAAATGAAGTGCGATGAAGTCATATCAACTGCTGTATCTCTAGCCCCCGGGGTAGTAGAGCGAGCCGAATCCAAGAGAGGGATCAATCGGTTGCTGGTATAACGAGAGCGGGACCTGGGTTGGTCAGATAGACTGAGCGCACATTGACCTGGGTATGTTCTTGTTTGGAGTAGTAGGCAGGTCATGAGTCGACAAATCGCCTGTAAGGAAGCTGTCCGAGAGGGTCTTGTCTGTGGCAGAAATTACAGGTTCGACAGGATTGTCTTCAGGGCGTGATCAGCTGGTACTAGCTTTGGGATCCCCAGCTTTGGAACGGCGATCGGCAATACGATGACGACAACGATGCAGGTAAACTTTAAAAGCCAAGTTAGTTAGGGAATGACATTCTGCACATCGGGAACCTAGGGTGCACTGTCCCTGACAGTCGCAACATAATGAGTGGGGATCCAAACGTGGAATAGGTACGTCTGCATTCTTTACAAGCAGGAGGTTGTTTGTCCTTTTTTCCCATATTATTTAGGATACTCAACAACTTGGTGCAGGAAAAACAGTTCTGTGATGTTCAAACACGTCGCCACACAGTGGCGATGAGAAAGAGAATACATTGGTAGAACCTTTATTCCGCTCACCTCTGCCTCAGGTATCTGTGATGTAGGGTTTGGGTTCAAAGGTCCATTGCTATGGAATATTGTACATCGTTCCTCTTCTCCCTTTGGTTCGCTTCATACACTCGAACGTGTTTGATAACCATGAGGAAACGTTAAAAGAGTTACCAAACCTAACTCACTCTATGGTCTGTGGGAGATAGTTGCTGTGTTTTGTTTGAAGAATTGATGTCCTTTCAGGATCGATTTTAAGTCGTCTGCCGTTTTGCTATGCGTTTACAGCTACGCAGCTGTTCTATATGTACAATGACATACAGGAAAAAATGTTCGGCATGTATACCAGATCTCATACTGTTTCGTTTGAGTAACGTATCGGGATCATTAACACCGGTTAATCGTGTGTTTGTCCCCCTTACGAGTTCATGTCTTTTAGACGCTAGACAGTTTTCAAAATTCTAAAACAAATTCAAAATTAGACTGTCTAGACCCAGCTTCCTTATGCATATCTCACGGTTGTAGTCTATACAGTTTGGAAATTTTAATATAAATTGTATATTTATATACTTATCCTATCTTACACGCGATAGGCCCTCATTTACTATAGCCTTATAAAGCTCTGTGAAAGAGAATGAATTGGTAGAGGCGCACACTTGGTCATTTCAAGCAGGCACTGTGTGCTTGAGAAGCACGTAATTGACGTAGTTGTCAAGCTCGCTGACTTAATTGATACATGTCATCGATCCGAGCAGCGTGGATCGATGCTCATGCTGTCAATCACTGGACTGTCTGGTCCAGACTCGATTATTTTACAGACCGCCGTCATATAGCTGGAATATTGCTGAGTGTGGCGTTAAACAACAAACAAACAAACAAAATACAAAGCGCAGTTGGCGGGAAAATGAGAGAGTAACAAGTATACCAGCTTGGTCATGTATTTCTGGTGCGTATGTGCAGAACAGGGGCGCGTTCGTGTGAGCTGGGTTTTTTCTGTTCTCCAGTAATGCAGTTCAGGAAGCTTCCACTACCTTTAGGAAATGAGTTTAGATAAGCAATAGTCAAAATTGAAGGCTTCTTATCTTTAAGGAAATTGAAGTTGTGGAGTATGTTCAATGATGGATTTGATGACAAGATTCATTCAACACTATGTACATACTGGTTTCTTGGCAACAGCAGCAGCACTAGGGTTCATGCGAGCTCCCTTAAGCTTCGAGAGTCTGTCAGTAATGTCTCGGTCACTATAGACTGGCTGATCTGAAAAGCATAGAATACATAAAAATACATAATAAATTCAATCATTCTCCATAGAAACCAGCATTTGAAGCACATGAGCATCTTCATAAAGGGAGGACTACAACATGTATAATGGAATGATTCCCTTGCTGTATGAGATTATACAGTGGAACCTTTCTTATCCGGACATTTGCACTTCATTAACTATTATCCAAATAATGAGTCCCTTGTTAACTGACCAGAGTGGACTCACCTATCCAAATTCTTCCAAGGCATAAAAAAATCTACGACATAATGCATAACCTCCCCCAGTGGAGTTATTTTATGCAGCTTTTAGAAATATTCAAACAATATTTAGTCACTAGTCCAAAGTCTGAGTCTCATAAAATCTCTTCGGTCTAGTAGGCTAGTCTAGTAGAACATCAAAATCTACAGAAAATGATGCTTATAGCCAAGTCTGGGATTGTAGTTATTAGCTCAGACTGTAACAGCAAGGATACCAAAACAGATCCCTACACATTGTTTCATGTGTGTACAATTCTAACACTGAGCTACCCATCCTCGATGTATTATTCATTTGATTTAATCTTCAAGTAAGAATGCATTTAGCATATGGCTTTTTATGACAAATTATCAATCTAGTAGAAATATTTACATTTTTTTCAAATCATTAGACCATTTGACCACAGGACTATTTAGTGATTGTTTGGCCTTGAAGAGTGGTTTGGTCCATGAATATGAATGACTTTTGAAAAAAAAAAAGTTCTGTAATTTGACATACTCAGTGGCTTTTCTTTTAGCTTCTCGAGCCTCATGGCAATGTCACAGTCTACACGAGACAGTCCACGGTACTGTGGTGGGATAGCCTTAATTGCTGTTGGTGTGTACGAGTAGGACATTCCATAGTTATAGTTGGCGCCCCCTGATGGCCCTTCATGCAAAGCAGCAAGTCGCCTGAAACACAAAGGGAGACAACAGTGAAGAATATAGTTTAACATATGAAGTTATATGAGTATTTTGCCAGGATCTATATGCCTCAATCGATTCTAATATATAAGGAATGATGCAACAGTATTCCAGCTTTATCAGAACAGAATAAATCACTGAGTGTGGTTCAAGCAAACCAGTGACTACAAATGTGAGCACTAATGCACATTATTGGTGTATAATGATATACTATCAGTCAATCACAACAAAGTCAATCCCATCCATTTTAGTTGCTTGATAACTATGTGCAGCCATTATTCTACTAGCCTGTAAACCTACAGGGATATATTTAGACTTTTCAAAGGACAATATTCGACCCTAAGTTTGCAGCTAATGTCAGTAAATAGTCCAAAATAGCTGGGATGGAAATTAGTACTATCCCAGAGCCGTTTTGTTATTGTTAAAGGTATCTCTAAGATATAGTAGAATTTTGTATACTCATCCTGCATTAATGCATTTACTGCTGTTTTTGACAGAAAGACAATGTGTGAGAGGTACAGCTGCTGAAGAAGTTGCTCCAACCAGTTGTCTGGCAGTATACCCTTACCTAGTTGGCACGTGACCCGGAAGCGATGATGTCACATAAGAGCACATTACAATTTCAAACATAACATCTGAAACTTTGTGGGGAGCTAGCATAGTGAAGGGAGAGGGTACTTTAGGCAAAGTAATGCAGGATAAGTGTACAAATGTAAAAAAGATTTAGATTTTAATAAAATTTTAACTTATCCTGCATTACTCCTTAATGCATCTTTATCAGACAGAACGGCAGGTGGGGATGCCTTGAGATGTGATCCATCGTAAACCCTCATAAAGGTCTGATGAACCAGCACCGCATTCAGAGTGATGACCGGAAAATCCATGACCAGATCTGTCAGAAGGAAATGAGAGTGTGAAGAATACAGGAAGACCCAGAAAAGTGACAGTAATAGAATGAGACAGTTTGCCCCAAATTAGAAACTGACCAAAACAAGTGAATGCAAAATACAGTAGAGCCCTCTAATCAGGGGTGATAAACACCGGAGAGTTAGACGGGCCTGCTCGGCGTCTCGAAGAATCAATGTCGTCAAGGAAGACTGCACCTGGCATAACAAGAGCTCTGCTTCACTGTCTGCACTTGGCTTTCTGGTCATCAAGACGAAACGAGTGCAGCAAGGCCTGTAGTTCTGGGATTTTCGTCATTCTGTGATCATCCAGAAAGGCGAGAATTGAGTTGATGGCGACCAGGTACGTGTAGATGGTTAAAGCCTTCAAACGATGTTTGCTGCACAGAAAAAGTAGAAACTTAGCCAAGAACTGGGGTGACGCCGACATAGGATCTTGGTTCTTGTTTGAGCAAAAGGACTGGGAGGAGCACCACTTGTCATCATACAGTCCTCATGTAGATGGATGGGTACAATGTGTGAAGCCCATTTCTGGTGTCCCCTGCCGTGATATTGCTGGAATATTGCTAAAAGCGGCGTAAAACCATACTCACTCACTCACTCATGTAGATGGACGATTGGCCAAAGCAATGGTCTTGGCCGTCGTAGATAAGAAGCCCTTGGTCAATAAGGATCTCTGCAGATGTGCCAGGCAGGCAGATGAAACCTGATTCGGATGTGGCTACCTGCTGTGTGGGTGTAACAAGAGGTTTGGCCAAACCGGAAGTTCTAGGGGGGGTTGTCTCTGGCGAGATCTCGGAGGTCAACAAACCAGTATCTGGCATGCGATTGATGGTAGCCTTGGAAGACCTCATCCTTGTCCAGCACCAAGGTGAGAACAGTCAACATGGGGTCAGGAGGCAGAGACATAAGGTTGGACCAGATTGTGACTTTCTTCTCTACATCGGGGCCAGAGACGGTGGTCTGTCAACCAGTCAGCAACCTGCTTCAGTCTGAGATTAGTGACGAACTCTGGAGAAGGAGGGTCGTAGTTGGGTAGAAAGGATCCCTACGAGGAGTCAGGACGATAATCATGATCTCTGTGACGCATGGGTGAGCGGCTAAGAGACCGGTGACGAGACCTAGAAGACTTGGAGCTGCGTTGAAATGTAGTAACAGAGGGCGAAGCATGAGATAAGATGGCCGGATGAAAGTCCATCTCATTCAAAGGCACTGGTGAAGCAGGACTCAAGAGTTTATAAAAGCTCAAAATTATGCAAAAGTGGTGTAAAGCAACGCTTAAAACACACACAAAACATTACGTAAAACACAATAATGTCTTACCCATGCCAAGTAAAAGAATCCAGAACGCAAGACACAAAATCGTGGCCAGGTGGAGAATTCAAAATTTTGGATGGAGTAAGAATACGCCCGTAATATTACCGTGACTACAGCCACAAACAAGCGGAATAACGTTATAATCACATAAAAAGTCACAAACCATAAAAACAACACAATACAAGTTCAAACGATGTTGAAATAAATAAGCAAAGGATGCTGGAAATCAGTAGAGCTTTAATCCACAGAATACACATCTGTTCCTGTAGGCGGACAAAGGCTGTAGACTGACAAAGCTGTACTATGTGACGCTTCCCGATCATGTGCCGACTGTGTTAGGGTACTGCCAGACAACTGGTTGGATCAACTTCTTCAGCAGCTGGACCTCTCACAGATTGTCACTCTGTCAAAAAACAGCATGAAATTGCATAAAGGAGTTATGCAGGATAAGTTAAAAAGTTAAAAAATTCAAACATTTTGGTTGAGGTGACTTGTATTTCACAGATTACAGGATCAATACTGACGAAGAGGCTTTAACACATGTTAACATGTAATTAAAAATTGTTACATAAAATATAATGTTCAAATACAATGTTAAAATAAGAAAATAAGAGAAAAAATATCCAAATTTAGAACGAGGTTACAATTTTTCAAAATTTGCCTGCCAAGGGCGCATAGTATGAAATCGTTGATAAAATTGTGATGTACTAACTTGTAATAAGCATCTGGAGCAGCCAGCTGTTTTTCTCTTTCTTTCTCCTTTTCACGGTCAGCTTTCCTACAGAACATCACAAAAAAGTTGTTTAGAGTCATCATGTAGAATGTAGATCTAAATCTTTACTATTCCACAAGCAACCTCTGGAAAACATGTTGAACATAACTAATTAAATAACTGCAAGGTCAAGTCACATCTAAAAGTCATATTATCTTTATTGTTTATGCCACAGTCAGCAATATGCTACTGGGTATATCAAGGAGTGTTTACCAAACAAACCATTGTATGATAGCATCATCAAAGTTCCACAGTGTCAGGGTACCATAAAACACAATTACCGAAACCAAAGCTTATTTCAAAAATTGGTTTACAAATCCGATGACTTTGAAAAATTGATTATGTGAAAACAAATTTTTAAAAGTGAAAAGCATTAGGTTCTTAATTCTGCCAACCAGAAATAAGTAAAATGTAAAAGAAAACTTGTTTAGTGTCACTATCAATATATACTACTTAAAAGAAGTTATAGTACATCAGATTCTATCATATTACCATCTGGACTAACGAGTCTATACATAGTCTAATCAAAATCATGTGATGAAATCGGCGTCCGGCAGATTTCAGTTGATAGCAGGATTTGCAAAGCATTTGTACTGTAAACAAGGCGTCTACAGATATTTCTAAATCTTTTCATGTTTTAAATCATGGTGCTCAAGTAATTTGATGCATTTTCCGAGGTAAGACGGGTAGAATTCGACAGAACACTGGAAGGAGGGTCGGGAAAGTAATCAGGAAGTGACCTCTTTCACATCGAATGTACCAAGTTCCTCATCCCTGTAGTGACAATAGAACATTCGACCAGATGCACGGACGAGACAAGTTGTTTATCACGAATGCACAGCATGGTTAATGCTCTTCGACACACAACTTATTATCGATGCGACAGGACAACTGCCACGCGTCAGTAGAACTGCGATCGAAGTGTGGTCGACGTATAGTTTAGTTACAGAGCAACTCGCAGTATACAAGGTAACTAAAACAGCATGGTTAATGCTCTTCGACCCACAAGTAACTATCGATGCGACAGGACAACTGCACACGTCAGTTGAATTGCGATCGAAGTGTGGTCGGCGTATAATTTAGTTACAGAACAACTCGCCGTAGACAAGGTAACTAAAAAATAGCATGGTTAATGCTCTTCGACACACAACTAATTATCGATGCGACAGGACAATTGCACACGTCAGTTTAATTGCGATCGAAGTGTGGTTGACGTATAATTTAGTTACAGAACAACTCGCCGTAGACAAGGTAACTAAAAATAGCATGGTTAATGCTCTTCAACACACAACTAATTATCGATGCGACAGGACAACTGCACACGTCAGTTGAACTGCAATTGAAGTGTGGTCGGCGCATAATTTAGTCACAGAGCAACTCGCAGTATACAAGGTAACTAAAAAATACGAGCAGTACTATAAAGTATGGGAAGACGATGCATACACCGAATAACCATAATAAAAAAGCCAAAGTACTGCACACAACAAAAAACATAAGAATGCATCCATTTACCAACAGTTTTTATTGTAACCTGTTATCTGGCACGAAGTGTCGAGCAAAAAGTCCAAAGTGAATAAAGCACAAATTCACTGTCTTTTCTGGGAGATCTGTTGTGCCACCACGAGTGGACGAAACTGTTTGAGTCCTTCAACATCTTCTGTTGCGATATCTCTGAGATAATGTGAAGCAAACACTGAAGTAGATCTCCAAAAGCAGCCCTCCATAATAGCTTGCAGCGAACAATTACTGTGGAGTGCTAATGTTGAAGCTATGGCTCGAACTTCGTGCAGATGAGAAGAGGTGGGAGGTGCGAGTCCTTGTGCCTCATAAGCTCTGAGAATGACCGCTCTCAACCAAAAGGAGAGAGTATTATGTGTTATATCTTTCTTTGCATTGGTTGAGAGTGGTATGAACAGCCGTTGAAAATGTTGACCAAGATGGACGTTGCCATGGCTAAGCTGATCGAACGTAATCCGACCTACGTCAATGGCATGTATTTCCGATACACTTCCAGAGAAGGAAAGCCGTTTTCTGAGACCATAAGTCGAACGCGACCTGATCTAGAGGCTCGTAAGTCTGACTAGACAGGTTGCGCAGAACGACATTGACGTGAATTTACGTGACTGATCTTCAACCATGAAGGTACGTAGAATCTTCTGCAACTGCGGTACTTTAGTGAGCTTGTCACCCGTAGGAGACGGCACCACTGAAGCCAAAGCTGCCAGATAAGTCAAGATCGTCGACCCTTTCAGACGCCAAGATGACCGGAGTGAGTGAGTATGGTTTTACGCCGCTTTTAGCATTATTTCAGCAATATCACGGCGGGGGACACCAGAAATGGGCTTCACACATTGTACCCATGTCGGGAATCGAACCCGGGTCTTTGGCGTGAGATGACCAGAGATAGACTAGGATCTCCGCCACCTGTGGTGGGGTTGCTACAGCCGGGTTGAAGCCATGAGACCTGGCGAAAATGGAGAAAGTGGTCCACTTGTCATCGTACAGCTTACGAGTCGTAACTCGATGTGCCGACGAGACAAGCGCTGCCGCGTTAGCTGAATATCCTTTCTTCATTAGCTTGGTCTTAAGCAAACCCAGGCGTGAAGCTGGAAGTTCTTTTTCCCCAGATGCAAGTCGTCGGTGTGAGGATGAAGAAGGAGGTCGTCTCGATCTGGCAACGGGAACGGTGAGTGATCGATGATCTGAAGAAGTTCCGGGAACCACGTTCTGGCCGGCCAAGAAGGCGCGACCAAAAGCAGACGTAGGTTGGCCGTTTGACAAACTTTCATCAGTATGGTAACAGCAACGTTGGCTGAAACGCGTAAGCGTCTAGACCCTCCCACGATATCGCTAGAGCGTCGTGGTCCCATGCCCGTAGGTCTGGAACCGGCGACATGAATCGAGAGGGGCGGTTGTTGTACCGGGTTGCGAAGAGATCTACTTGGGCAACCAGAGTCGATCTGTCAGCAGATGAAAGACTGTCGGATGGATCATCCACTCTGTGGGAGATGGCCTTGATGGTCTCGACAGGGCGTCGGCTATCACATTCTTGGCTCCCGGGATGTGACAGGCGTGTACGCCCATGTCCAAGTCGTCAACGAGGACGAAGAACCTGAATTTCCGGTCCAGAAGGGCCGCCGACCCGAGTCATTCCCTGTTTGTTGATGCAGTGGACGACTGTGGAGTTGTCTGACTGTATCATCAGCTGTTTCCGATGGAGTCGAGGTGTCCAGAACTCGACCGCCTGAATCACTGCCTCCATCTCGAGGCAGTTGATGTGGAGGACCTTTTCTTCTGGCAACCACAGCCCGGCAGCTTGGTCGTCCCCAAAGTGCGCCTTCAAATGTTGCGTCTACGAATAGGTGTAATATGAACGGAGGCACGCTCATAAAGACTTTTGCAAACGTTTGACAGCTGGAGCCACCACTCCAGCTGACAACGTAGCTGCGCCGGAAGTGGAACCAGGAGATTTGGAAACTCCAGGTGGCGGTACAGCCATCTCTGCAGCGGACAAAGTTGAAGATGACCTCGGCGAGTCAGGTCTTGGGCCGATGTCAACAGACCGAGGACTTCCTGCCACGTGTGCACCGACGCCGGGGCATGTAGAAGTCTCTGAACGCTGCTGACAAGCTTGTCCCAACGGTCTTGAGGTACCTTGATTGACCCCCGTCTGGAAGCGTATCCCGATGTACTGTAGATCCCGAGTTGGTACGAAGTCCGACTGTTGTAGGTTGACGATCCACCCAAAGTACCGTAGTAGACTCAGGGTGGTCGCTAACTCTCCTTGAAGGGCTTCTGTGAACTGGTGAACTTGGAGCCCGTCGTCTAGGTAGAAGGCGACCCTGATCGCCTGCCGATGGAGACATTCTACAACCGTCTTCATGATCTGTGTGAAAAAGCATGGGGCCATAGAATTTCCAAACGGGAGGGCCGCCCACTGGTAATGAATACCTGGGTATACCAATCGGAGGTACTTCTGGAAGTACTATGATGGAGATACGAGATCATGGAGATAGGTCTATCGAGACAAGGAAGTCGTTCGGTAATATCATCCGACGAGGAGAGCTGAGGGATATCATGGTGAATGTATCAGGTTGTTGGAGGTATGTTGCGTTGAACTTTTTGAGATTGAAAATAAGCCGCATCTTTGTGGAGTTTTTCTTGGGTACTAGAAAAATGGGCAAGTAGTACCCCGGCGATGGTGCCGATATCCCTAGGCAAAGTACTGCCGCCTTTTCCACCAATGAATTGATGGCCTCCGTCAGTCGATCCGTTGGTGGAGTGTGGAATGTCGGGGATGATGTCAGTGGTGGCGTCGATCTCAGGCGTGGGGCGTAGCCTGTTGTCAAAATGTTCTGAACGTAAGGGTCGTTGAGGAAAGCTCACCTGTGGGCATAGTGATGAAGTCTCCCCCCTACCTAGGTAGTGTCACCGGGGGAGACTGCAACGACGGCTCTTTCCCCCTCTGGAATACTTGGAAAAGGAGACCTGGCGACCTTTCCTGTCCGAATCCCTCTTGCTTGTCTCTTGCATGTTGCATGTCGAGGCATGTCCCTACGAAAGGCCCGTTGCACATTCTAGAATCTTGGCCAGGAAGTTGATTTTTCGCTAAAAAATCCCATCTGAGACCAAGATGGACATTGATATGAAAGGGAGACGAGGGCGTCGTTCTGTCATTATCTTCACTACGACGATGAACTCCCAGAAACTCCCTGCGAGAACGTCGCACGTCCCAGTGGGGACGAGGGCTACGATCTCTAACTGTAGAAGTACTACGATCCCCATCGTAGTTATCGTCCGAATAGTACTTCTGACGACCACGAAGGCGATGAATGCCCTGGTTTCGTGTACTGTCTGTCGACATAGCACTCCACCTGTCGTCCCAACTTGAACGGGAACGACTTCTGTGTCCACTGTGGTCCCGCACAACGTCCCTATAGTCGTTGGTAGAACGAGATACGGACCGACAGGGGACCGTAGTCCCCTCATGGTCCTCGTCACCACCC